TGGCAGACCTAGCATTTACGTTTATCAAGACGTCACTGATTTAGATGATTTTTTGGACCTGGTAGAGAAAGGCTCTTGTGTGATTTCCTTCTTGACTTGCCAATTGATGAAGAATCCAATAGGGGAAACGGAAAGATTTGCCGGAATTAAAATTGAGAATTTTGAGAGTTTCTGAGATACAGATCAACTGCAGGAATGAACGTAATTTAATTGAAATGTGTGACGTAAAAATGTTCAGTATTGACTTTCACATTTATCTCATATATCTTATATATCAGTTAAATAATAAATGTATATATTGTATTTTAGAGATTTTTCAATAAAATGTTGAAGTCGTGTTACAACAATTATGCCTAATTGATCTACCTGTTGTTGGTCCCGGGATCAATGTCCCCGCGGACCAGTTTCTGACCTGGTTGGTGGTCCATATAAGCAGTTTGTTAGTTAATTAAAACGCATTGTAATTCCAGGGAATCGTGAAAATATCAGAGCCGTTTGTAATGACGGAGCGCAAAGCAAACGAATAAGATGTGAGTTGGGGGAAAAAAATGGCATTCTAATAAAAAACAGAACATTAGAAAAGAATCGAATTGTACCGACAACCGCGGCAAGACTCTAAAGAGATTCAACGCGGACTGAGGTACCAGGCCGGTGAGCTGGTGACTTCGATGCCGTAGTAAGAATCAAGCCACCACCCACGGCGTCGTGACTCCGACAAGATTTTAAGTTTGCAGTGCTTTATAACTAGCCTCAGGCGCTCGATCTGGGATAACCCGAGACTCATTAGTCGGCTAAGCTTACTGATTAGTCTGATCACTTTACGCTGCTTTTTAATTTCACTTTAGCACCAGCAAGCCCAACCACTTGTGAGCTGGGCGGTAGAGCGACGGTCTCCCTTTCAGGCAGGTCGGCGTTCAAGCCCAGATCGTCCAAGTGGTTGGGCACCATTCCTCCCCTCCCCCCCCCCCCCGCCCCATCCCAAATCCTTATCCTGATCCCTTCCAAGTGCTATATAGTTGTGGTGGCTTGGCGTTTTCTCCTGATAATTCCTTTCTTAATCACCGGCACTTAGACGTTGCAGTCGTTAGAACGTCCAAACTGCAGGGCATTAAGGATGAAAACAGTTTGAATCGATCAGGACTTTTTCAAATTCTCGAAAATCAAAATAGAACTTTAGAAAATTGAAAAGATTGATCAACTAAAAATGGAAGGTGGGAGTGACCGGATTGATGGTAACCTATCTTCTTCCCAAACTATTTCATAATCTGTGATTATTTTTAACAAATCTTTTTCGAGCGAATGATTGGAGAGAAGTATCGAGTACCGGTTGATAGCGGATTGATTCAGCATTAAGCTGTAACATATTGTGTTGCTGGACGAGTGTTGCTGGAAGAGTGAGTGATGCTGGAAGAATGAGTGATGCTGGAAGAGTAAGTGATCCTGGAAGAGTCTTGCTGGTAGCGTGAGTGATGCTGGAAGAGTCTTGCTGAAAGAGTGAGTATTGCTACAGGAAGCAGACATCACAGAAATAACTATGTATGTTGTTATACAACAAGCCAGTACAGAATAGTTATCCAACTCAGCTATGGAGCACCGATATTTTAAAGTCACCCACACTTGCATTCAAGCAACGCCCGCACGCCCACACCCACACTCAAGCAACGCCCGCACGCCAACACTCACACTCAAGCAACGCCCGCACGCCCACACTCAAGCTCAAACAACACCCGCACGCCCACACCCACGCTTAAACAACACCCGCACGCCCACACTTAAGCTCAAACAACGCATGCACGCCCACACCCAAGCTCAAACAACGCTCGCAGGCCCACATCCACGCTTAAACAATGCCCGCACGCCAACACCCACGATCTAATAACGCCCGCACGCACACTCAAGCAACACTCGCACGCCCACACCCACGCTCAACCCCCCCCCTCACCCCGCCCACGTTCAACCCCCCACCACACCCACGCCCACACCCACGCTCAACCCCCACCCCACCACGCCCACACCAGCGCTGCTGTTGACCAAATATACATAATCTACCATCTCTCCCTGTGGGTTACAGGAGACAGATCTTTGAAAGCTGCTCTTTATTTTCATTTTAAGCCGGAAAGTCTGTATTTCACGCCATACTAAACCATTTATACTTTGTGATTCATCGCAAGTGATGTACAGACGTGACCGACTTGTAATTACTCAACTCCGAGGGTCGGAACTATGCTAAACTGCGCGCAAGGGAAAGAACCCCTTACGTTAACAACGAGTAAAAATTTAATGAAGCCATTTCTCCTCCTCTTAATCTCTCCCTTATTAGCATCGGCAAGTTACTACCGGAGGGCATGTCTTGGCCAGCGGTATCTGACTGATTGTGTTGAGACAATCAGTCGGGCACGACCTCCGTGCCTTCGGAAAGCATAAGGATGAGGATTGTGGAGGAGAAGAAAGGGTACGAGGTTGAATCTTAGCGACTCCCATCAGTGTATTGGTAATGTCATGGAGGACTTGCTGGAGAAGGGTCCCAGCTCTACCTCATACTGCAGGTGGAGAAGAGGACAGTCATTTCCCTCACTGCATCTTGGTGAGATGCATCCCATCTTTTCCTCACGATGGGATCCAGTCCATGCCCCATCTTATAACTAGAAAAGGAGCCTCACCGACGCATTGTGAATTGGAGGGATAAAGACCAGGTTTTCTCGTAAATATTCAGACGTGGAGTCACAATAACGTGACTGAAGATATGATGACCAAACCACACGTCAGAAGATGCGGAAATGACGACGTTTCGATCCTTCCTGGACCATTATCATGTCGTGTGTGTGACATGACTTCATAATGGTCCAGGATGGACCGAAACGTCGTCGTTTCTCCCATCTTCTGATGTGTGGTTTGGTCATTGTTAACATTGTCCAAAGAAATGGCCGATGGTTCGAGGCTATAGAATCTAACTTAAAGCTAACCATCCTAGGCCCAATACACACTCTATGGTCTAATATATATACATTATATTATATATGCTATACTAGGCCTAGGAATATTTGTTTGTTTTTAGCTTTATTTTTTCGTATTCTTATAAAGTGAATAGTACCAAATTCAACTGTCTAATTGTCCATTTACGTCAATATATATAAGATGGTCCACAATTACAAATAATACTGTCTAAACAGGAGGATGGGTTGGTATAAATATCCATTAAATCGAGAATAAAAATCAATATATGTCCCATTATTATATTTTTTTTTTAGAAATAACCTATGACTCAGTATCACATTAAACAAAATTTTCTCATATTAAACACTTTTGGATATCTTCTCTATGTCATAGAATTTGATAACGCAGACTAGTTTTCTAATTCATGAAAATGGTAAGTCTGTTAAGTAAATTTTAATAATTTCTCTTTATTATAGGAAAAGTCGAGGACTAGTACGAACTACAGAGAAATACTTTGTTCCTCGAACGCAAACAATTTAACTATTCAGTGGAAAGGGAACGCCAGGGAGGTAGGAGAACTCCCAGAACCCTCTACAGGTATGCTCTAGGCATGCAATGAAATGCTCACATCCTTCTGTCTACCAATGCTCGTCTCACCCGTCTCTCAGAAGGGTTCAGTATGACACGTGTAGGGCGAGGTTAGGCCGGTGTTTACGGCCCAAACAATAAGCAACCAATGAGCCCTCAAGCGCCCGTGAGCGAGTGGGTCACGTTTTTTGCTCCTCCTGTCTCGTTTGCCTTCCTGCTAATTGTATATTAAGTAATTTACCACACTCGTCATATATTTATGAGGGCTAACACACACACGCGTTGGCATACTGGACATACTCAACTCAGACGAGAACCAGGAAATACTACGAGACTGAATTGCCAATGACATGGATGGCTAACTATCGGTCTTTGCCGATGTTGGTCTCAATTGCCATGCGACTAGCTGCGATGTTATGGGCTATATTGACATTATTTCCCCTGTTGATCTTCGACCAAGAGCACATTTTTAGCAATAACTCACTCACTGTGTCCTATATTGTACCAATGGAGTTCCGAGCCATTGATACAACTCTATTTTAAGGTGCTTGAATGTGAAGGGTTTACTCCAAGGCCGAATATGAATCTACATTTAAGGAGTGTTTTCTTAGGAGTATCTTAGCTACCATTTCCTTGGGTCTCTTAGACACCTGTGCAACACTTGCCCGTTCGAACTACACCTTGCCCTCGTTATGGCCCATTGTTGCAGGATCATTTCTACTGTTCATTGCCTAATACGTTTAGACTTTTTCAACCTCTTTCGAGCAAGATTACAAATGGTCGTGATACAGTTCGAATCAACAATAATAACTTCCATAAATAGCAAATTATGTATTACCAAAAACAGAAATAAATTCGAATATTAAATTAAGATCGAACCATTTACTGATGTAAAGAATTAAAAGAGTTTCAGCGCTCTGGATACTTGCCTTTTAAGATTTATATATAAACCTTATAAATAACACAGGTTGATATGTTTGACATTGAGGGGTCAGAGATCACCGTCTTGTATCCTGAACATCAATTACAAAAAAAATTGTATTGCATCGTCTTGAAATGAATCTTGTATACTTGTCATCCACATAAACTAAATTTAAGACATTATTCAAAGAGCAACTTTATGAAACATTCTGTATAGTTGACCAGACCACACACTAGAAGGTGAAGGGACGACGACGTTTCGGTCCGTCCTGGACTATTCTCAAGTCGATTGTGGTCCAGAATGGTCCAGGACGGACCGAAACGTCGTCGTCCCTTCACCTTCTAGTGTGTGGTCTGGTCAACTTCCTTTAGCCACGTTATTGTGACTCATCGCCTGCATTCTGTACAGTGTCATTTTTAAATCGAACAATTATTTATCAAAACCTTAAGGTAAAATTGAGTAGAAGACTACGAGGAGGAGGAGGAGCTACTAGCATTGGGCATTAGTGGAAATTCATTACGTTTAAGTTAGTCAAGTAAGAAAAATGTGGACTTACGGGAATGATACCAAGCTGACTTACTGGAATAACACCACTTTGGCCAGACGACAGCGCCGGGGGTGTCAAGATCAGTCATGGCTCGCATCCAGCCTTCGTGACCCCACACTCTTCTCCTTGACAGGTCAGCCAGGGTCAAACTTGGGTCACTGCACGATGACCACCACTTGGCTAGCGGACAACATACAGGTCACAGGTCACAAGTAAGGTTCAGGTCTCACTTTTTTATAGGCCCCCTCCCTGGCTGATAGACAGAGTTTACTCACTATTGTTTCCTTCACCACATTCTTAGAATCCACGCTAAAAAATTCACTCCACTGGCACCATCACATTCAAATTCTTAAGAACACCACAAAAATTCTTGAGAGTAAGAGTATAATCCACTGCACACTTGGGCCAGAGCTTTCCAGCTCCCAGCGCTGGAAAGCGATCACTACCAGTGGGTTCAAAAAAAGATCTAGGCGCCGTTCCAGAGAGCGGCTGCGGCGGTGCACTGGGAGTGACGGACGAGTGGGTAGTGTGAACGGTCTGGCGTCTGCCGCACGACTGTCTCCTGCAGCCACAGGTGAGCCACCGCAGGTACACTGGACGGGTGGATAGGGGACGGGAGGAGGAGAGGGGGTGCGTGCGTGCGTGCGCAGCTCCGCCACGCTGGTGATGGTGGGTGCGAGCATGTTCTGGGGCCAGGCCAGAGGCGGTGTGGTTACCACCGGAGACGGTTGTGCAGCCCCCGCTGTCCGGCTCGGCCCCAACCAATGGCCTTTTCCTAAATCTCATCTGCTATTACGGGTTATTCATGCCCGTGCCACCTTTTCGGTGGCTTAATCTTAATCAATCCTCTGCTACCTATCTCTTCTCTCATACCTCACACCAATTCAACATTTCTGGGATAATCATTCTAATACAATTATCTCCCACCACAAGGCATGTCTCGTAATATTATATATATATATATATATATATATATATATATATATATATATATATATATATATATATATATATCGTAATATAGGTAGACGTTATTGATGTACACGTCAAGATGAATAACAAAATGTTTAATTCCTTCCAGACTCTCCAGGAGTCCGTATAGCAAGCGTTATTACCTGTGCCAAGGTAGGGGGTGAGGGAGGCAGGTGGGGTGACGGGGGACCCCCACCACCTGCTTCCCGCTACTGAAGGAGAGACCCTGACCGTTCCCGCCCCCAGGGGTGACGGAGGCCGGGACTGAGTCCCGCGTCCCCTGGTGAGGAGAAAACCAATTTTCGAGTCGCGGTGTATATATATATATATTTATATATATATATATATATATATATATATATATATATATATATATATATATATATATATATATATATATATATATATATATACACACACACTTAAGAGGTGTATACCCAGCTTCCCGGTGTGTGTTTATACACCGAGAGTATACTTTAGTCATGGACTATATGCAGGCCTGAAGTATATACCTACTGGTTGATCTGTGACATATTATAGTGGCGTTACAAATCCTCAAGCGGTTCAAAGGTGTTAAAACAACTCAAGAATCCGAACGAAATTTCAAGTTAGGCTGTATTCTGGAAATGGTTTGGTGGGGGGGGGGGTATGGGAGGAGAGGTGTTATAGGACTCGAACGAAAGCAGACCTGGAGATAATGATTGACGCGATTTCTTGCGAAACGCAACGAGCCAATGGCGATCCTCACAACGTACCTAGGCCGAGTACCTCTGTACTTTTACCTCTGTACCTCTGGCGTACTTTTAAAGCGGGAAATAATTTAGAAAAGAACACACAACTGGTTTGTGGAATAAAGTTTCAGCAACGTGATTCATTGCACACTTATTTCATAGTGAAATAGTACATAATCAGACCTGTGTACTCTGTGTTGAAATTGAAATTGAAATAAGTTAATCGAGGTAAAATACACACAATGGGATGAGGTAGCTCAAGCTATTCTCACCCCGTTCAGTACATCGTGTTAGTACATACATAGATACACATCACAAGCAATAAACGTATTACCGAACATTCTGAGAGATAAACATATACATTTCCTACTCTGTGTTGGTCTGTAGGTAAACTAATGCGTGCCTTGGTACTGCATTATAGCTCGCCTTAGGGGGCACCATGTGAGCCCTGGTCTCACCTATAGCTGCCCCGCGCCTACAGGGAGCAGCCCCCTGCCGGTCCTGTCAAGCCCTATACCCGTGCCCTTGCCAACCGGTTGCCCACCAGCCTCAGCCCTTACCCAGGGTGTTGTGTACGTACAGGAGACAAGCTTTTGACTCACTAAACTTACCTGCATCTACAGTTTGATCTCCAGTCTTACCAACTTACACCTAACCAGTCAACTCTTACAGGTTTCTGGCGAGCCTTGATTTCCTCTAGACTGCCTGCATCGCTGGCGATACATACAAAGCTTAGTACGGCCGAGTTCGGTCACCTGGTGCAACATAAGCTTAGTATGACCGAGCTCATTAAGCAGTACAGGTGTTCACCTCAGAACAGTCGTCATGAATATGTCTGAAAGAACAAACAGCTGTAGTTCAGTGTGGTTGGTGGCTGTCGTAAGAGCCATTGACCAGGATCGACTGCAAGTACGTCAGTAGGTTCAAACGGTTAACTGAGGTTATTGTCAGCTGCAAAGTCCGATATGTTTACTCGTTGGGTCAACTAATATTTTGACTGTCACAAACTGAGTCTTGGGTTTGACTGAAATTCCGTCATAATCTACAGAAGCCAATATTTAGTATGAGATAAAGTAAACTCACTTCAGTGAACAGAACCTCAGTTCATCTCTTTTGGCAGGCCAAGTGAACAAGACCCAAGTGCATCACTACTGCCAGGCCAAGTGTACAAGACCCAAGTGCATCACTACTGCCAGGCCAAGTGAACAAGACCCAAGTGCATCACTACTGCCAGGCCAAGCGAGGTGAACCCTTACATGATTGGACCAGACCGCAGTGGCCTCCCTCGAGTTTTTACAAGGGAGGCAATTAGTTTGTCGCATAACTTGATAAGGATTATGGACTCAATTAGATTCGCTCTAATAACCCCCAAGATGCACCTGTCAATGTAGAGCTGCTTTAGGCCCCGAGGCCTTGGTTAGTGGCTCAGGCCTGAAAGAAATAAACAGAATAACAGCTGTAGATCATTGGCACCAGAGGGGCTTCGAGGACCATAATTGCAAAAGCATATTAGAAACTTCTGAAATTAATTACAAATCGAAAACTCAATTGAGAAACATATATATCAAGCGAGGAATCTCCGAGGATGTATGGAGATGTCAGAGAGGCTAGCATTGCAACATCCACTCATTAACCTGCAGTTGCAAGGCAATTGAGCGTACATTCCATTACAAAAATAACATTTTAAGGCATGTACACTGCTAGTTATATGTTTCAGTGCGTATTATGTAACTGAATCATGCCTCTAGAACAGTTAGAGTCATCCAGGCTTCACTCGAGAGCAGAAAATGCATTCAAAACTCTTTTATGTAATGATTAAATTGATTCATTGTTCGCCAAGAGAGAGAAAGAAGTCCAACCGCGCTAAATAAAAATGAAAAAAAAGTCCGATAACTGCCCAATATACCATAGACGGAAGAAAACTATATATATATACAGAACAAACCCTTCAAACACCCAACGTGACCACAAGGTTGTATCAACGTCATTACGTGGTATAGTGAAAGCGGGAAAAAAAACATATTTAGGACGTGTGTTTGGTGGGAAGAAGTAATGGGGATGGAAAATAGGGTCTTGTCGGACAGGAAGCGGATGGGACGTGTATTGAGTAGGGATAGAGGGGAGAGGTCGTGTATATCCTGCCCTCTTACTAAATACATGGCGTCGAATACGGAATTATCGACTAATGTGTTGAAAAGTCGACGTATTGGTAAAAAATTAATATTATTCTTTTCAATGCATCGGACTAAATAGGCTAGGTGGGGGGGGGGGGAGTGTGGGGTCGTACGCTCCTGGTAAGGAAGATTAGTAGCTAACTACCAACACTGGTGGAGTTGCCTGGTAGGGGTGTCAAACTACCACTATTGGTAGTCACCTTGTAGGGTAGTTGTCTTACTACCACCACCACTAGAAGAGTAGACTGGCAGGGTACTATCTAACTCCCACCACTGGTAGAGTCAGGGTGCGTGTCTAACTACCACCATTGGAGGCGTCAGGGTGCGTGGATAACTCCCACCACTGGTTGAGTCAGCTGGTGGAGCGTCTGGATAGTGTAGTGGAGCGGGATCTAAGGGAAGCCAGCCAAGCGCATCCTCGCTGCTTTAGAAGTGATAATCCTTCATGTTACTTTAATTATATCTCGCTGAATCTACGTCTCATTTCACTGAATCGGTATTATATATATGTAAGTCTCTTCTTGGTTCAATTTAAGTTTGTTGACATTTGTGTGTGTGTGTGTGTGTGTGTGTGTGTGTGTGTGTGTGTGTGTGTGTGTGTGTGTGTGTGTGTGTGTGTGTGTGTGTGTGTGTGTGTGTGTGTGTTCACCTATTTGTTCTTGCGGGGGGTTGAGCTCTGCTCTTTCGGCCCGCCTCTCAACTGTCAATCAACTATAACTAACTATTAACTACCTAATTTTTTTCACACACACACACACACACACACACACACACACACACACACACACACACACACACACACCCAGGAAGCAGTTCCGTAACAGCTGTCTAACGCCCAGGTACCTATTTACTACTAGGTAACAGGGGTATTAGGGGGTGAAAGAAACTTTGCCCACTTGTTACTGCCTGGTCCGGGAATCGATCCTTGGCCACAGAATTACGAGTACTGCGCACTGTTCACTCAGCTACCAGACCCCCCCCCCCATTTACCCCCCCCCCCCCCACACACACACACAGAGTCTGTGTGTGTGTCCACAGCTTCAGGAATAGACACAATAAAACACACAAAATAGGAGCTACTTGCCAAATCCAGAAGTAAATTAGACCGACCACCGCTACCTCCACCGACCAAGCTGCAGATCCCTGTAATGATGAGCCAGGAGCTCACAGTGTACCTTGCTTGCCTGCTGTGTTCTCTCTCTCTCTCTCTCTCTCTCTCTCTCTCTCTCTCTCTCTCTCTCTCTCTCTCTCTCTCTCTCTCTCTCTCGTAAGTTCAGTATTGCTGCGTTAGTGCAACATAGTGTACCCCCTGAACATGTCACATTGCAGACGAAACGTCTAAATAATAAAAATGGAAATATTAAGTGATCTAGTGTTTCTTCATACTCTATATGGTAGAATAATGGAAAATATACAAAAATAAATTAATACTAATCACAATGCTATTGTGTTTAATGACATGTGTCTTTTGATGATATCCTCAAGTGTGGATAAAGTAATAATTCCAAAGCTTAAACTAACTAATGTTAGTAGGATATAAAACCTTTTTCATATACTACGGGATTTGTAAATCAATGTTTAATATACGGTGGTAATAATACAGCTGATTCCATTTATTATTAGAAAAGCACACTAAGAACAGGCTAGGCCAACAGCAGCCGTACGATACAGCATACGCCATCTATCGGCCAGAA